TAAGTACTATTTGTTCTCTTTGACTCCATAACTTCATCCGGTATATGATAACTACTTTTCTCCTGACAGATCAGAGCTATGAAATTTTGATTTGTGGTTCAGTGCTCTCCCCTCGCTTTCTGTTTAAAAAATGCAGAAAGCTTGCGGAACGCACCGAACCACACGTAAGGTAATAGTTTTTGCTTTAGTGTTCTAAGCTTTTTCTTTTATTATCTGTAGTCCACGTTCAACTTTTTATCAACTACCATAGCAAAGGATGTGAATCATATACAATGTTGAAATTATCTTAAAATGGAATGTATCTAAATGCAATCTTCTCCTCCCCCATCAATATTTTATTTCGTATTCACGTGTGGCTCGCGTGTTATATAATCTAACGCGATTTGAACTTGACATGGGGAGTTGAGGTCGATACTTAGGTCTACTCTAACTTGTTTGTTTGTTTGTTTGTTTGTTTGTTTTTCGCTCAGACTGGGATAGTACCTTTCAGGCCTTCTGATTGGCAGTTTTTTCAATCATGAGATAAATTTTTTCATCTAGTAGGAAAAGCTAAGGCTTCATCCATTGATGCAGAGCGTGCCTGAGCAAAACTTACGCCACTCATATCGCTGTAGACGAATGAAATCTATCTTTTGCTTTCCATGTTGCTCCTTACAAAAGTCCGTCAAAAAAGAAAAAGTCAGAAGATGTTCAATTATCCTACAAAAATGCAAAGGGTAGAAAACTTCTGCTGTGTTGATGATAGCTAGGACCTAATTAACATTTTAATTAAAAATTTTCACTAGGTACTGGAAATCATCAACACGGCAAATATTAAAAAAAAAAAAAACTTGGGAAAGGATGTTTTGGCGAGGAAGGAGATCATGTGAAAACTAGTACTGATATTCGGTATAATTTCTTAGGTGATTACAGATATGCACAACGCTGTCCTCTGATAGACCTCTATATATTGTGCTATCATAATTTTTGGCATCATTTGGAAAAACGAGCACAATTATTGCTCTTGTTGAAGAGGTAGCACTGCTGGCATAATCAGCCTTATTTTTTAATTTTTTTTTTTTGAAGAAAAATTACCATAGTTATGACCTGTTTGGTTTATAAGATCGATTATTTTCAAATTTGAATCATGGTTGAGTCTATTTTCAATTTTGTAATGTCTCGGGGGAGGAAGGTTATCGCGATACTGCGACGTTTGTCATTTAGTGGACTGGGGATACCGGAAGTAAATATTGCATCGGTCCCAGTTCCCGCTTCCACAGCTGGCAATTTACAGAGCGAAGCGTGGGAGTTGCGACACCATGGTTGAATTAACGATTGAATTAACGTTGCGCCAAACTGCTCACAGTATTGTTAAATAAATCCTTTAATGCATGACGATTCTCTTTATACTTAAGGTGAAGTAATATTACTGCCGAAAAACCCAGGCATACTACGCAGTTAAAACTTTTGAGAAATTAAAATGATGATAATGCGATGATGGTATCAAAAGAAACACTCATCCTCTCTTTTAATGTCATTGACGCATTTTCATCATTTTCTGGCTGCAGGAGGAGATAAAACCCGTTCGTATTTAGGAATATTTGCTGGTGTGGCCATGGAACTTTGCCCATCGCACGAGCGAAGTGATCGTGCCTTCAGAATGCTAGGCTCTTATCGATTGTGCCAGTAAAAGTAGCATATTATGCTACTAGCAGTACCCAATTTTTCCAAGTTATGCTCAAAATTGTACTCGTTTTTGAAAGTTATGCCACTTTTTCTTATAGTACGCTTAAAAATATAAAACACAAAACTAGTCCAAAAACCACAATTATATATTTATTGTTAATAAAGCATCCTATTTTCTTTATCTTGAGTTACATACTTGTTCTGATAAACACAACTAAATACTGCACTTCATTCCAGACTAGAGGCGGTGACTTTTAAGTCATTGAATGTGTTCTGTTATAGCTTAGCGCTTGTTATATTGAAGCATCACACTTACTTGTAAGTAATCTGACAGTGCACTCTCTTGCTGGTCATTGAACGAGGCTAACAGTGCGCTAACTGACTCTCTCTGAAGCAGCAGAAGAAAGCTAAACCAGGACTGAGTACCTCGACTGCGGAGGACCGACTGAGTACCTCGACAGCGGAGGACCGACTGAGTACCTCGACAGCGGAGGACCGACTGAGTACCTCGACAGCTCCGCTGTCGAGGTACTCAGTCAGGTACTCAGTCGCTATTTTAAAATTCTCATTTTAAAATAATATCACCATAGAGATGGTAATGCCTCGCCTCAGTTTCCGACAAAACAATGATAATAGAGGGACCCCAGCTAGAAAATCATGACCACGCCCTTACCATCAAACTGATTTTTCAAACTATTTTCACGCAGTTTAACCCTTTCAATTTAACATGGCACCCTAATAGTAACGATCACAAAAATTGTTACAGTGTTAATGCACTCTGTTTTGGCAATGCTGATAAACTGCACCCACTGAACTGTGTTACAGATGCCCAAAGGAGAGTCTTATGATTCACGTACGACTCGCCTCTAAGTATCTGTAACACACATGACCACCAATCCACGGAATAGTATTCTGTGGACTGGTGGTCGTTTGGAGTTTCATTATTCGTGATGCTGACTGGTCAGGTTCGTCTCAACCACTTGTTGAAAATGCAGGCGAAAATGTTCATTTAATTTTAGTCATAATGTCATATACAGACGAAAAAAGCGTGTTAGGAGTTGCTCTTTTCATTGATTTTCGAAAACCTTTTGACACTGTTGAATGGGATTTCCTTATCGACACCCTTAACAAGTTAAATTTTGGATCTAACGTTAATTAATGGGTGAAAATTTTTTACAAAGACGTTACAAGCTATGTTTTAAATAATGGCCATGCATCGAAATGTTTTACTTTGGAGAGGGGTGTCAGACAAGGTTGCCGTCTGTCAGGATTGCTATTGGTGATAGGCATCGAAGTTCTTGCCAATGCTATTAGAAATAAGAATACGACGTAGCTGGTAAGAGAGTACTTTGATGCGTCGAGCAGGGAGAAGCCGTGAAAACGAGCAACGAAGCCGTGAGAGGCTTGGGACAAAAAAATTGGTTTTTCATGCCAAACCTTCACCTCTCGAGTACCCAAATAATCGTGGAAACGACCGCCAGCTTCGTATGCTACAGTACATTATGATAGCTTTCTTTGCCTCAATGTTTTATTTCATAAATGTAATTGTCTTTAATCATCATACGAAAGCATTCTCTCCTCTATACAGTAGACACAATTATTAACAACTACACTGTCCACAAATTGATTTTATTGTCATTGTTTATTCTCTCTTTTTTTTCTGATGCGTTTGTTCTATTTTTATCCCCTCATATAAATATCTGAATGGCTGTAAGGAACTGTCTGGATGAAGGTCACATTAATATTGTCTAANCCGACTGAGTACCTCGACAGCGGAGGACCGACTGAGTACCTCGACAGCGGAGGACCGACTGAGTACCTCGACAGCGGAGGACCGACTGAGTACCTCGACAGCGGAGGACCGACTGAGTACCTCGACAGCGGAGGACCGACTGAGTACCTCGACAGCGGAGGACCGACTGAGTACCTCGACAGCGGAGGACCGACTGAGTACCTCGACAGCGGAGGACCGACTGAGTACCTCGACAGCGGAGGACCGACTGAGTACCTCGACAGCGGAGGACCGACTGAGTACCTCGACAGCGGAGGACCGACTGAGTACCTCGACAGCGGAGGACCGACTGAGTACCTCGACAGCGGAGGACCGACTGAGTACCTCGACAGCGGAGGACCGACTGAGTACCTCGACAGCGGAGGACCGACTGAGTACCTCGACAGCGGAGGACCGACTGAGTACCTCGACAGCGGAGGACCGACTGAGTACCTCGACAGCGGAGGACCGACTGAGTACCTCGACAGCGGAGGACCGACTGAGTACCTCGACAGCGGAGGACCGACTGAGTACCTCGACAGCGGAGGACCGACTGAGTACCTCGACAGCTCCGCTGTCGAGGTACTCAGTCAGGTACTCAGTCGCTATTTTAAAATTCTCATTTTAAAATAATATCACCATAGAGATGGTAATGCCTCGCCTCAGTTTCCGACAAAACAATGATAATAGAGGGACCCCAGCTAGAAAATCATGACCACGCCCTTACCATCAAACTGATTTTTCAAACTATTTTCACGCAGTTTAACCCTTTCAATTTAACATGGCACCCTAATAGTAACGATCACAAAAATTGTTACAGTGTTAATGCACTCTGTTTTGGCAATGCTGATAAACTGCACCCACTGAACTGTGTTACAGATGCCCAAAGGAGAGTCTTATGATTCACGTACGACTCGCCTCTAAGTATCTGTAACACACATGACCACCAATCCACGGAATAGTATTCTGTGGACTGGTGGTCGTTTGGAGTTTCATTATTCGTGATGCTGACTGGTCAGGTTCGTCTCAACCACTTGTTGAAAATGCAGGCGAAAATGTTCATTTAATTTTAGTCATAATGTCATATACAGACGAAAAAAGCGTGTTAGGAGTTGCTCTTTTCATTGATTTTCGAAAACCTTTTGACACTGTTGAATGGGATTTCCTTATCGACACCCTTAACAAGTTAAATTTTGGATCTAACGTTAATTAATGGGTGAAAATTTTTTACAAAGACGTTACAAGCTATGTTTTAAATAATGGCCATGCATCGAAATGTTTTACTTTGGAGAGGGGTGTCAGACAAGGTTGCCGTCTGTCAGGATTGCTATTGGTGATAGGCATCGAAGTTCTTGCCAATGCTATTAGAAATAAGAATACGACGTAGCTGGTAAGAGAGTACTTTGATGCGTCGAGCAGGGAGAAGCCGTGAAAACGAGCAACGAAGCCGTGAGAGGCTTGGGACAAAAAAATTGGTTTTTCATGCCAAACCTTCACCTCTCGAGTACCCAAATAATCGTGGAAACGACCGCCAGCTTCGTATGCTACAGTACATTATGATAGCTTTCTTTGCCTCAATGTTTTATTTCATAAATGTAATTGTCTTTAATCATCATACGAAAGCATTCTCTCCTCTATACAGTAGACACAATTATTAACAACTACACTGTCCACAAATTGATTTTATTGTCATTGTTTATTCTCTCTTTTTTTTCTGATGCGTTTGTTCTATTTTTATCCCCTCATATAAATATCTGAATGGCTGTAAGGAACTGTCTGGATGAAGGTCACATTAATATTGTCTAATAACTTGATCGTATCTCTAAGCATTAATAATTATATTATTCAAAAAATTGTTAGTTTTATTAATCAAAGGGGGAGGGGACATACATTAAATACTTTGTGTCAAGCCAAGTTTTCCCTATGGACATTGAAAACAACCACATGGGTTTTTTTTTTTTATACATAATATTATATGGAACTGTAACAAGAAGTCAACATCCCTCTGCAAACATATTACTGGTGTTTGCTTAAAACATGTTCTTGTAATTACTTATATTCACAGCTTGTCTGAATATAGAGCCTGATGTTTAGTGCACGGCTGTGCCATCAACACTGACATTATGAATAGAAACAAAATGGTCAAATCCACTTTTGATAACAAATTTCAGATGGCATGCTGATGTAACAGGAATCTACAAAGGAAAAAGATATGCAGATAATACTTATATGTAACATCCCTACATTCACAATTAGGATTGAATAACAGTATTTGTATTTTAATGCACTAATGAATTCAAAGCTTCAACATTCCTCAGGGCAACCCAGCAACATTTGACTGTTGTCCGTGCCTGGAGGCTGGGGGTGGAAAATTTGAACCTCGGGTTAGTGCAAGTCTTTCCAGCAGAACACAGTCATGGTTCAGAATGCCAGATACATATATTTTTTAACTGGATCACAACATAAGTGGGGTTCATTGTGGAATGAAAACTACCCCTACCTACCTTTATCTCATCTCTCTGCATCTGACCCTCTGAATGTTCATACTCTGCCACAAATAACAATTACACATTCTTCATAAATTGCATGAAGGTTTAATTTAATTTTTTCCAGTCTTTAACTCTACAGTCAACCACAGTCTGCAATCACTCAGACCTGGACCCTGTTAATGTGCACTTTATTGTCCTGTCAACGATCAAAATCAGAGTTTTGTTTGACTGAATGTCCTTACTTAAACTTGTTTTAATCATTTTGTTATTATCATTATTTTTATTATTTAAACTATTTAATTTTTTTCTGAGAAAGGTTCTGACCAAAATTTTTTAGAAGAGCCCATAAGGTTATGCTTGCCTAATAACCTATCAATAGGTTTATACTCTATGCTGTTTGTCTCATGATATGAAGTCAAGCTATCAATTGTTTTATAAATGGTAGCATGACTACATTGGGTGACAGGCAATAAAAAATTCATTTACCTCTTTTTCACCAAGATGAAAAACAACATTTTCTAAAACATATCAATAGGCTCTATTTACCTTTGTCCACAAGAGGTTCGAAGTCCAGTGCCTCTGTTTTTGTGCTTTTCTCTATGCTGAGGGCTTTAACTGCAAATAAAATATCATATAAGCTACAAAACCTTGAAGCTCCTTGTCTATAATGAGCTAGCTGGTAACCCACATGTACCTGACCCCTCACAAAAAAAATTCCTTTATATTTTACATCACAAAAAACAAATCTTTTTTGAAATCTTTCAAAATATGACACTAAAACAATGATGTGGTCCCTGCAATAATAAAATCATTGAATTGATAACAGGATCTGGTGAAGAAAATGCCCATGTTACATTGCATTTAAACAGCATTTGAAGATCTTCTACAATCCTACTCACCATTTGAAGATAAGAGTTTAATATTTCCAATGCTCATTAATGCACTGAAGGTGATAATGAATTCTTGAGGAAACATTCCAGTTGTTGGCCAGAAAGTATCAAGACTTCTGTGGAGCAAAATGAAACAACAAACTATTATAGTTTGGCTGATCCGGAAATAAGACCTTAAGAGGCACAGGTAAAATGTGAGAATCACAGAAATACAAAGACCCTTGTTTAAACATCCAAGAGCGTTGACTGGGAGACTCCTAGATGGGAGTTTAAATTGATTGTAAACAAGCTTTTTAGCCATTAAAAAGACTGATTGATTGGCTCTTGATTTTAAGATACCATTTACTTACCCTTGCCTGGGAGTGTTTTCATTTTTTTTTTAAGCAAAGAAAGATACCACACTACAGTAACACCCAAATGGCTTGAATGCAGTTAAATTGAGCCCTTTGCTAACTCAAGAAAGATCCAATTCCTTTTAGATTTGACCCCAATTCCTCAGTTATTTATATCACCTAACATGAACCATTTTCATTTCCCTTGGGAGTTTCAGTTAGCAGGGTTCTACTGTGATTTTCAAATTTCACCTGGTGTAATACCACTTGCAAATGCAGTGTTACGCCTTATACCTTTCTTTTCTTAAATCTTGCTTTTTGAGAACAAACAGATCATGCACATTCCGTGGCAAGCTATCGTGATCACCATGACAACTACATGATAATATTCAACACTTTAGAATGATGCCACGTTGTGTCGTGGTCTATCAGTCAAACAGTTCCAAAGAGCAAAGTATTAATGTGTTCCGGATAAATTGGAAGTGGCCTTTAAATATCTTAATTGTGCCCTAACGAAACCTCAATTTACTTTTCTCGTCGGAAATTTAGAATGTTTACGAAGATCTTCACCGAACGTAAAATACTTACCCGTCAATAATATTTTCTGGAGGATGATTTTCATCAAATGATGTAGCAAGGGCAATAGTTGCTCCAGCACTACTTAAAGCCACGTCAAACATGTTTGTGGTGCTATTTCCTGAGAAGGAAAACTCTCTTTTTCGCAAGTGAGAGGTTCAAAACATTTCAAAATCTAAGTAGCCCCCGAAATTACTGGGCCGAGTTTTATGCTGAATATGCGCAGCTTGGTTTCAAATGCTGACAAATAGCATAGTCACATTCAAGATGGCGGATGTTCTGTGAAGAGGGTAAAGATTTGTTTCCATTAATAAGGAATGTTTCCACTAAGTACGAAACAATTTTCTGCTGCATTCTTCGATGTAAAACGTAATGGTCAAGGTTATAACGGAGAGGTCAGTTCAGTCGACAAGGATGCAGCTAAGAAACTACTTAGGCCTCCCCACCTTTCCAAAACCGAGCTTTCTTCAATTCCACAATCCCATCGTCTTGGGAACGTAATGTGGGATTTCATGAAGAATTGTACGACAGGAGAATTGCAACTGTCTACCCATCATTTTAAGTCTAAAGGAGACTCGCGAATTTTATCGCAAAGAGCACCTGAACAATCATGTTCTTCAGTTTTTCCGGAATTTGAGATACATCGCGTGACTTCAGAACGTAAAACGTCCGAAAAAAAAGCGCGACAGAGTGTGAACAATTTTAAATCATCAACATTAATCGAAATACAAGCTTTTCACACGACCCCTTCGATAAATGGTACAGGTTCTTCTCAAAACACTGTTCGTTGTATGCAAGCAGAAGCACAAAAAAGAGATTTTCTCCAGCAATCTAGCCACGAAGAAGCAAATGTTTCCAATGAGGTTTCTGTTAACAGCAAATTAAGTAAATCTGGAGGAACATTCAACTTGGACAGTGACATAAAATCTTCAGAGTCTGAATGCCATATTGTCCCAGATGATTTTGACGAGGAATCAAAGTTAAGTACAGCTTGCAACATACCAAGTCAAACCAGAGCAGATGTTGATGATAGTTATGGCAAAGAAAGTTTCCAAAGTGATTTGGTCTGTAATGGTGATTGCAGGTTAACCAATGGAGAGATTTCAAACCTTAAGGATTTGACTGCACCATCCATTTATCATGCTGTTGGCATTGAAGAGGATGATTTTGTTGGAAAAAAGAAATTTTTAGAGAGATTCCTTGAGAGAGAACTGCAAATCAAGCCTTTGACTGTGGTAAAGGGTTGCAATTATAGCCAAAAGCCAGTTTCAAATCTTTTTACCATAAATCTGAGCTTAGACACAGTGATGTCCGTTCTCTGCACTGATGGGAAAGATTCAAGGAGTGCTGAACATAGTGACATTGATGTATGTGGGAAGATTGCTATTCTGTATGGCATCCAGGATAAAACGGTTTCAGTGGTTGATTTTGAGGTTGTAGGAATGTATGATTACATTTCAGGAGCTGTGTATGGATTGCAGGGATTCTGTCATGATGAATCTGTATATCAGTCAAAGGTAACTTTTATGAGTAACTACAGAGTTGATGGCTCTGATGAAAAAACATGAATGAATCGTTTGTATCTGACTCAGGTTAACTATAAATGTGGAGAAGGGCTCTAGTTGAAATGATGCTTATTGTCCCATGTCAGGGTTCAGTCAGTCTTGTACTGAGATTCGTACCTGTCTTGTCGAATGATCCTGTCTTCTACAAACGTCTCTACTTGAAAATTGACTCATAAATATTTGGCAGATTTATCATGATTAATTGTAGTGTAACCATGAGTAGCTTGTGTCCTATCTAGTTGTTGGATGATTCAACCAGTCTATTAGAAAACTTTTGTTCATAGTGTGTTCTAAATCTGGCTTTTAAATCCAGAATTAAAATTGTCATATCTGAAACTTGTCATTGAAGTTGTGGTGGAATGCATTGATTTTGTCTTTGAGTGTGGCTTTGGATGTGTTGCTGTTACGTAGCCAGGCATCTTTAGTCAGCAGGTCTTGCACTGTTTCCCAATGGGCCCATTAAATTGAATGATATGTCTCAGTAACTCTAACTATGGTTCAAGTTTATTTATCAAAATTGATGTACATGTAATGGTAAAACCACAAACTCTGTAAAGTAAAGTACTCTCATTCAGTGCTGAGAATTTACTTATCAATTAAGTTTTTTTTTTGTAGGATGAGAAGTATCCCCTTTCATCAAGAGAAGTGAGTTTGGACCTTGACAAATTCTTAGCTCATTTTCAACAAAAACTGAGATCATTGTCTCACCATGTTGACAATGACAATGTGTTAAAGGAACACTCTCCTGTTGCCTGGTTACTGATCTCACCAGCTCTTGGAGTGACCCTCGACTGGCAGGTACAAGAGAAAGTTCTAGAATTTATAGAAACTTTGTCTTCAGAAGAATTTTCTGAAGAACAAGCATCTGACATTAATAACAAAGGATGTTTTTCAATCCAGTGGTACAATCTGTTGGTAGTAGTTGACGAATATCGTTGTTGTGAGAAAAATATTCCGCTAATTGAGGTATTTGAGTTCGGTGCAAATGGTGATGTAAATGTTGTCAACTTTGATTTAAGTTAAATGATTATTTCTTGTGAAACAAGCCCAAGTAAAGAATGGAGCAGTTGAAGTATTACTGGTAATGCTGTGGTTTAATATATCACTGCCTAAAGTATAAATTATATTAATGCACAAGTTTTTGTTTTACAGTATGTTGCATGGGCTTCCTCACTAAGCAGAAGGTTAACATATTGTTTGGAGCAACTCTTGTTTATTTACAAGCTTTCATTTGTTAAAAAGTGACTAAACTTCCTTCAGGAAATGTTCAAAGATGAACTTTAACAGTTCAGCTCCTAAGAGTAACTGGCTCTTAATTCCTCCATAATGTATCACCCTTCACCCTTTAATCTCCCATGAGTGACCAAGGCAGAATTTCTCCTTACAATATCTATACAATATCAAGCAGACATGTAATGAGAATAAAGAAAAATATCAATTAGAGAAGGTTTAGTTGATCCAGTACCAAATTCTCCAAGCCAACATCATAGAAATTGTATGATAGACAATAAGGAGAATTTCTAATCAGATCTTGGGGGTGAAAGGGTAAAATCAAAAATGAAATTATGCTTTGGTCATGAAGAAAATTAAGTAAGTCAGTTTTTCGTGACTTCAACAGAGCTTGACTACGAACAAGCAGTAGTCAACCCATTTAGTTTGGAGTAAAATAGCAATACTGACGATGATGCCAAAAGTCTGAAAATATGTTGGAAATAGGTGCTGAAAATAGTTCCAACTTAACCATCTGATTGATTGAAATTTCATTTCTCTTTACTTAATTATTACCTCTGAATCAAACATTAAGGTGACGAGAATAAAGGAAATGATCCCCAACTAAAGACGCTTTTGAATTTGAAAAAATTCTCATTGTCAACACTTCACGAAATGCATAGAAAACTGTGTGGATGATAGGGTTAAGTTACTTTCTAAGCCAAAACAAATCTCGTGGTATTCAAATGACATTGGACAAAGGAATCAGTTTCTTTGGCGGAGTTAATAATCATTCTTGTACAACCAACCCCCTCAGTTTGAGCGCCATTTCTCAGAGCACTTTTGCTAGTTTAACATATCACGCAGACGTTTTCTTTGTACTTCCGACTAGATAACTCCCGACCCAATTAAAAAAATCAACGCAGGTAGCATAATTTTTATTTGAGTCTTAGAATCTCTTGGGAGTTCTAACGACACGCCCTTATCAAGGACATTTTATCGGCAAAATTTCCTTTCCAACTTACCCCATATGGCATCAGATCATACAAACATATAGAAGCTGACCATAATCTTTCATCGATTGGCTCGCTCCTGTTCTGACAGGAAGTAAAGTTTTCCCACCAAGGATACCCATAAATTGCCACCACTTTAAACGCATTTACTCCCATACTGGATTCAAACATTACATTTCCTTTAACCTCTGCAGCAACATCACCCATGATGGCTCCAAATGCTACACTTGGAATAGCAATAATAAGCTTTTTTTCCGAAGCTGAAAAATGATCGGTGCGAATTGCAAAACCCTTTCCTTCTCTTTCTAGAACGTTCACTTTCCCGTTTAAAAACACCTTTACGCAGTGCAGATTTCTTCACTGCTGATGAGAAATCTGACATGCCACCAAGAGGTCTGTAGTATTTTTGCGAAAAGTACTTAAATGCTTGTCGTTTTTGCAATCTGCACAAAGCGCTATCTTCGTAGAAATCTCTCCTTACAGCGTATCTAGCATTCAGCAGTTCACATCCTTCACCTCCTTCACCTCCAAGTCTCTGGCACAATAAGTCCCGGTAAAAAGGAATCTCCAGTGCTTTCTCCTTGGTCATGTTTCTCCAGGCAAATCCATACATTTCTGACTCAGTTCATATTTGAAAAGGGCCCTAACATGAGCGTCGGAAAAGCTTTCTCCTTAAGAGATTGAAAGGTGGAGGCAAAGATACCTCTTGCTTGGATGAATACGTCGATCTTTGAATTTACCCAAAGGCATCAAGGGGACATGGAGTCGTCTAGCTAAATCCCTGACAACAAGATAAATTACATTTGGTAACTACAGGTAAACATGTTAGATTTAAAAACCACAATTTTTAGGTACAGGACAAATTCACTAATATCAGAGGCAGATGAAAAGGTCACCTATATACACAGTTAGACGTAAAGCGTAGAAAAGACTGGGTCGATAGACACAAAGGCAGACATAGAAGTAGAAAAAGACACGTATTCAAAGTTAGGCAAACAAAAATATCCCAGACCAATGAAAAATTTCTTCAATTTTTTTTTGATTTCGCTTAACAAAACATCATAAGTAAAAGTCTTACAAACACTCCTAACATCGACTACAAGTCCTCATTCTCAGAAGAAAATGGTCTACTTAAATATCTTTTAATCTCGGTTAACCGGTTAAAAACAATAATGATAGAAAAAAAATTTTTCTCACATCATTCTCTTGTGTATCTTTCCACTCTCCAGGCTCCTAGACCTGTGGGTTGAAGTTACAAATGATTACCTGCTGTCAATATGTTGTTAAGACAAGGTTAAATGTATAATGTAAAAAAGTTTACTTTCAAGCTCAACAAAGGGTAAAAGATCTTCACATGGTTATCTTAGCAAGTCAGTGGGAGTTTTGAGCATTTTTTAAACTATAAAATAGAAAATTGGTCTCCGGGCCTGTTATCAGAGCTGCCGAGGGACCTCGAACACACTTACTTTTCAAATTTACTAAGTATAATTACATTCGAAGAGCAACCTCTCTTGTACCACCATACAAGTGCCTTAGGTTTTCACTAAAAGAAGCTCAAGGGGCTGTAGCTTTCACAACTGTGCAGGGAGCACATATGCACAGACGTGTGTCGGGGGAAAAGCTTGCGGTCTTAACCACTTAGGTTTCAATCATGTTGCACAATCTGCAATGCAGCAGCACACTGGACTGGCCACGCAAAATTGACTACACTCCAAAATTCACCTCCCACGCCAAGCCTTGGCTTCATGAACTCACATGCGACGAGGACAAAACGTTTTTGGAAGATGGCATTATTAACGGCTTTCAATTGGTGGTTAAGAATTTGCGGGAACACCATCTTAAATTTCCCACACTTTTCTTTAAAGCAACTTCAATCTATGTAGACAACTGAAGGATGTGACCTTCTTCAAGCTGACCAAAGGGAGATGCATGCCTAATAAGTGCAATGTCAACGGACGTGCAGTCTATGCAAAAGGAACGTGCTACCTTTTTTTGAGGTAGATACATCCGCCTGCTCTTGTATCTCCCACACCCTTCCGTCCTTTCTGTTTAAACAGTTTCTCGGCCACTTCAGTATGACTTGAATTTTAACGATGCTTTTTTAACAATAACAAATGCATTCCTTACTTATACTGATGTTCGGTGCTGGCTTAAACCTGACGTCAAAGTTCCGTCCGCCAAATCTGTAATCTTTCTCAAACAAGCATTCATTTCTTTCTTTCTTCAGCCGCATGAGTGTCTCCGCCATGTACAATCCTGACATACCACCTCCAACCACGACTACATCACGTGCCATTTGCTTCAAGCGGGGCTCTTTTAGAAATAAAAATAAAATATATTTGCTTCTTTTGCTTTATTTGCTTGTTTTTTTGTTTTTGTTCTCTAACCTGGTGTAAACGACAGAAATCACGCTCGACTAAGTGCAAATTACTTATGATGCACGATCCTCGCAGTAGATAGCGCTATTTAAGCAATAGCGAAAATCAGACCTGAAAAAAAAAAAAAA